TTTTAAAAAAATTGAAAAATGATTGAAAGAATGAATAAATGTATTGTTTTCTAAAGCAGTATGATGATGTAAATTAAAGGATAATCTATAGGTATCAAAGGCTTTTAAAAAGCTCCATGTATTTATTTACCCTGAGAGTAACATGGTGAGATATTTGTATTTTTAATAGTACATTAGTTAATACTTGTCATAAACTGAAGGAAGAGTTGAGATATGGGTTTAGGGGAGGGAAATATCAATATTTTAAAATAGATTTGTTTATTTAAAGCCAATTTCTAATTTCCATCTTCTAAATGAAGTTTCACCGCATTGTTTTTTAAACTGCAAAAACTACATTTTTTAGTACTTCTTTTTTTTTTTTTTTTTTTTGAAGAGGTTTTTGCTATAGGGCACGTGCTCTCGCCAGACAGACAGAGAGAAATATAGAGACAGAAAATGAGAAATCACTCCTCAGGGGGGATGGTCACACCGCAATCCCTTCTCCTCCATTCTCCTCTCGGGATCTTGGCACACACGCACACGCACCTGGCGTGAGTTTAAGCCACCGGGTCCGGGACTCGAACCACAGTGAACTACATGGGAGTCCAGCGACATAGCCATTACGCTAACTGCTGGTTCCCATTTTTTAGTACGTTTTAAAAACCCTAAGGAATTCTAATTATAACACCTTACTATACTATTATTTTAGATTTTCCGGTTCTTGCTTTTGTGTTTTTTTCCAATGATCTGGAACTCCCATGTCCAGATCACAGAGCTGTGATATCAAAAACTGGGGTTTTAACTGAGTTTCTATAGTACTTTTGAAATGGAATCTTCTGGGATTATGCTAGTTTAGACCGTGTTATGACAGATCACTTGAATTAATTATTTGGAAAATTGTCACCTTCAATAAGGTTGCTTTCATTAACATTTTCTTGTAACTCTGTGGTAGAGAAAGATTATAACTATTGTTGAAGTTCATCCGTAAGCTGAGTGGAAAGGGCATGGCTTAAGAAGAGAAGAGGTAAGTTCAAATCACCACTCTGCCCCTTGGTGTCTTTGGGGAAGTTGTTTCAGCTCTAGGAAGTTTCAATTTACTCCTCTATAAGACAATTAGAAATGCATGCCTTGTAGGCCTGGCTATGGTGGTGCAGGCAGTGGGGGCCACTCTGCAATGCTGGAGCCTCAAGGACCACGGTTCTGACCCCAGGTAGGCCTGAAATATACTGCAGCTGTCTGGTCTCAACTGGATAGAGGGCTTGGGGCTGTCACATCATGGCAGGACGCTGGCAGAGGTGCCTACTCATCCCACCGACTGTTGATAAGATAGGCAAACTTTAAAGAAAAAAAAGAAATATATCCTTTACATGGTAGTCGTGCTCAGCGTCTGCTTAAGTGCTCTGTAGAGTAATCATAATTTTAAGAGCACCTTCCCACTGATTCTCGATACCATCATCTGCCTGAGAAAAAACTATTCATTAAGTGTAATGATGCAGTCACTCCACTTTGAGATTATTTATGAAGTTGAAATGTAACTTGAAAACATGTATTATTCACCCTTCTTGTGAGCATATTTTCAATTGGATCTTCTCTTTCTCTTCCTATGTTCCCTCTGACCCTATAAACCTCTTTTGGTTTTACTTATGACTATAGTTTTGTTAAGACCCAAATAAAATATTTATGTCAGTTCACATATTATGTTGTAAATACATTCTTTTACTACAAGTTATTTATGGGGGGTTATCACCAAAGCCCAAGTGTGTGCAAAATAGAAGCAGAACGATTTCGAATTTCAGTCCCACTCCTGGCTGAAATGAACTCATTCATAAAATACTTACTCTTTCCGCTTATTTACACACAACAATGGCATGGGTGGTTATAATTCTGGTATCCTTTCAGTTCTCTTCTGTGCATATTTATTTTTATCATTATTTTCAAAGGAACTTGCATGGCTCAACTGCAGTAGCACAAAGCTCTACAATGTTGGAAGCCATTTGGAAAATTGAGGTTTAGTCCCTGCGTAACCTGTACTCTGTGTGCTCAGGCCCATAATCCTGGCTGACTGACTGAGGGGCAGGTGTGGGGACAGGATGGTAGCATGAAACCCTATCGAAGGTGCTTGTCATTCCCTTCTTCTCTTTTTCCTATCCTATTCTCTTCCCCTAAACATAAAAAAAAAAAAAATTGAGAAAAAAAGTAACTAACAGTGCTAGCAAGATTACAATAAAAATTATTATAGTTACATACTGCTTAATAACCTTGTGAACTAGAAAAATTCTTTTTTTGGAGAGGTTTTTACTTTAGGGTGTGTGCACGTGCCGAAAAGATAGAGAGAGAAGGCGAGAAATCACCTCCCAGTGGGGATGGCCACGCCACAATCCCTCCATTCTCCTCTTGGGATCTTGGACACACATGCACCTGCCCCCAGCGTTGAGTTTAAGCCATCGGGTCCAGGACTTGAACTGTGATTGATTACATGGGAGTCCAGCAACATAGCCATTACACCAACTGCTGGTCCTGTGAACTACAAAAATTCTTAAAGGAAAGCAAGGGGTCAAATTATATAGAGAATTATAAAGATGTCTCTGCTCTGTGAATTAGTAATTCCTCACTTGACAATACACCCTAGGGAAGTAATATGTAAAGGAGAAGGTGATATATATAAGGTGTTCAAAATCATTGGGAAAGCCAATTGATGGGTAACGGTTCAATGACTTGGGAAATATCAAAACAATGGGCAAAAAGAGAGCCAACAAAACTAAAATGTACAGTGCTGCAACAGGCTTGAGACATCCTTCAACATACTGGTTCCTCCCCTTCCTACCTACGCTCAATAGTGGGATTACTGGCTCACATGGTA